ATTGTAAAATCATTTTGGTTTCTCCCGATGGTTATCTCCTTATATATCCAGGGATCAAGAAGGGTTCAAGCTGCAGTATAAGCAGCATTTACTGTAACAAAAAGGCATTATAAAGAACAGAAAAAGACATTGATTACTCTAATGATGAATTACATAAGAGAGACTTGATAGATATTTCCCTAAATAAAAAAACCATTTGTATTTTTTTTCCTCTAGCAAGCATATCTGCTTCTCATGGATTGCTATTACACCCCGAGACATATTTTGATCATTGTTACATAGTGATCATGGATGTACTTGGTAGATACTTCTCTTTAGGAAAGATATTCGTGAATTGTTTCTCCATATGTCTGCTTGTGAGTAGTAGTTCTGTTGTGTGTTTCTATACAGTTCTGGTAGTGATAAACTAAGCACTTTATGTTGTTATCTTGCATACAGTTCTGAACAGTGCTTATGATTTAATTTATATCTTTAGTTCTTGATCTCTCTTTTCTAGGTTACATTACACCTGGATCGACATAGGGACACCTAGTGTGTCATTTCTTGTTGCATTGGATGCTGGGAGCGATCTACTTTGGGTTCCATGTGATTGTTTACAGTGCGCTCCACTATCTGCGAGTTACTATCATAGTCTGGTAGGACGGTCTCCTACAATTGCTCCTAAACACTGATTGATTGTACTAATTAATATCTGCCTCCTTTTACTTTTGTGTGTGCTATGCTAGTGGGGAAACTGTTTTCATATGAAATAAGGAAATGTAGAAAGAGATCTTGGGGGTTGGATGGGGAGAGGACGGAGAGGCTTTGGTTGAATTTGTCTACTAGACTTGTAAAAGCCTATGTTAATGTGTGGTAACAGGTTTAGCACTTATTTCCAATGATTGATTGGCAGGTGCTCCTTCGTGTTTGGGGCATCTATTGTGCAGGACAGAGATTTGCATGAGTACAAGCCATCTGGTTCAAGCACCAGCAAACATGTATCTTGCAGCCATCAGTTATGTGAATCAGGTCCGAACTGCAAAAGTCCGAAGCAGCAATGCCCTTATACAGTAAACTACTACACAGAAAACACATCGACTTCTGGATTGCTTGTTGAAGATATGTTACACCTTTCATCAGGCAGCAGTGATCCATTGAATGCATCTGTCCAGGCTTCAGTCATTATAGGGTGTGCTTTGCTGATAATTTTCCACCGAAAAATTTTGGCTTCATTTGGTACATGAAAATATTTTCTAATTTTCATTTCCTAACTCAGAACATCCTCTAGTTCTCATTTCCTAAATTCTAATATCATTATGCATAAAAACATCTAAGTTAGTTAATGATGAAAACCAATATTTTGAAAATGATTGTGAAAATGAATGTAGAACTTAAAAAGAACTAAAAGTTGTTTTAGTGTTCTCTAGAAAACTGTTTTTATGATACTATCTTCATGCACAAAACCTGTTTGATAGTTGACAATGAAAATGGTATTTAGAAAATGATAGTGAAAGATTTCGGTCTGGTCTGGTTCTGGACTAATGAACGCAATCTATATAACAGTTCTTATTATACTTAATTACACATGCAATTGTACATCTTTCATGGGTAAGCACTTGAGAATCAACATAGGAAATAAAAACTAGAAAATATTAAATGTACTGAATGGAGCCTTCCTTTCTCTAAATCCAGTAATTTTAGTAATATCTACCTTTAGAATATTTCTAATATCTGTTTTCTTGACTGCAGATGTGGTATGAAGCAAAGTGGTGGTTATTTAGATGGTGTTGCTCCTGATGGTCTGATGGGCTTGGGTCTGGGAGAAATTTCAGTTCCAAGCTTTCTTGCTAAAAAGGGATTGGTCCATAACTCCTTCTCCATGTGCTATGATGGAAATAATTCTGGGAGAATTTATTTTGGGGATCAAGGGCCATCTTTACAACAATCTACTTCTTTCCTACCTTTTGATGGGAAATAGTATGAAAAAACTTACTCTTTAGTTATTTAATATCTTTGAAGTTTTACTATTTAAATTTTCACTAATGGATATTATGAGATGTTCCGGGCATTAGAAATATAATCTGCTCTTGTTTTGATTCACTTTAACCTACATTGTTGGTGTGGAGGCATGTTGTATTGGTAATTCTTGTCTGAAGCAGACTAGCTTTCAGGGCTCTGGTTGATAGTGGATCATCATTCACATATCTCCCAAATAAAGTCTACAAAAGAATAACAGAAGAGGTAACTCTCAATCTGTATGATTTGATTCTAATTTGTGTCTGTCTTACAGTTGTTATTCATCATAGTTTCACAGTCAAGTCAAGGCTACAAGATCTAGCTTTGAAGGTTATCCATGGGAGTACTGCTATAAGTCCAGGTGAAACTGCTTAAGATAAATTTTTTTCAAGGCTTTCACCTCCACTCGCACTCTCTATAAATTATGTATATGTTAGTAGTGTTTACGTGTGTATATAAGTTTTATGAGAACATTTACTCAAGGCCGTTGGTCCATGAGCAGTGTGGAGCTACCCAAGTTGCCTTCTTTGAAGCTTATATTCCAACCAAACAACAGCTTTCTGGTCTACAATCCTGTATTTATGGTCCCTGGCACCGAGGTTAAGACCTTTTTCCCTCCCCCCAATTATTTGATATTTTATTTATGGTATTTAGGATGTGAACTGATATGTTGACGGAATTTTATTTTTTTTGGTGGGATAAGAAGTAACTGAGCTGCTGAGGAATAATATATAGATGCTTTAGGTTAATATCGACATCTTGAGAAAATCAAAACTGGGGCGCGTTCACTTACGACTCTTGTAGTTTAGGTGTCTTAACCCCTTGCGGTCTAAATCTGTCATCTGCAATAGCCACCACATAAATATATTTATAAAAAACTTTTGATACATTACTGCTTTTTTTTTTTTTTGAAATATAATTGATACATAACTGCTTATTTTCACTTAAACACAATATCTTTGTATCAATTTATCCTGAATGACCAATGCTTGATATGGTGCCAATTATATTTTGTGCGAAGTTGTTTGATCAAGGATAATGTTGGCTTTGTATGGTAGGTGCTGTGTGAAGAAGCTGAAAAGCTTGCTTCTACTTATTGGGACTTAAAAATTTGCTGTCATAAAAAGTAATTGAAGTGTTTGATAAATTATTTGTGATATATATATATTTGAAATTAAAATTTAAGTATATTAACAATGCACCAAGGGGGTACAACCCATTACAAAATAAATTTACATATTAGTTAGGCATTCAATTATATACCCAAAATCATCCACCCTATACAAGTTATGTCCAATAATAAAGATCCAAACAAGTGGAACCATCTCTCTCTAATCATAGTAAATATCATTTTCAATCCCATAAGAAACCTTCCCATTTCTTTCTTTCCAAATAATTGACCAGACAGTCAAAGGAATTAATCTAGTGACTTTTTTCTTTTTATTTATTCCCTCCCAAGCCCACAACTCCTCCTTAATAGAATCCATCATAACTCAACTCACCCCCAAAAGACTAAAAGTCATACACCAGATTTCCTGGACAGCAGGACAGAAAAGGAGAAGATGATTGCACGATTCTGCCTCCCTTTTACACATGTAACAGCAAGTCACCGTCACCTTTTCTCTTTTCATCAAGTTGTCATTAGTCAAATACAGTTTCTGCTGGCCTCCCGTGCAAAAAAAGCAACCTTAGGTGTTACCTGGATCTTCTAAATCTGCTTGGCCGGAAAAAAATTCTGTCTATTGTCATTCTCCCCTATCAAATACAAATAATAGGATTTCACTGAAAACAACCCGTTCTTCTTGAGTTTCCAAACCAATTGATCATTATCTGCAGAAATATTAACCTTAGACAGCAAAAGAAGAAGACTCTATATTCCTCTACCTCCCAATCATTGAGATTTCTAGTCATCGCCACTTACACCCATCACCATTCCCCTCACCCCTAAAAGCCTCTTCTATGGTAATTCTCTTTCTCTGTGCAACAGCAGAAATTCTAGGAAAATGGTCCTTGAGACACCCCTTCCACCCATTCATCCATCCCAAAACATATTTTTGATAATATTTCTGAGATGCTATATAGAATATTTATGTTTGTTAATGAGATATGTGAAAGTAATTTGAAAATATAATTAATTTATTTCAGTAGTATCTAAAGAAAATTTCAATATTAGAAGCTCAACTATATTTACATATTCTATACTATGCTTTTGGAAAGAAAAGCATTCTATTTGCATTAACAAACGTATTCAGTATTTACGTATTCTGTACTGTTTTATCTTTTTTTTTTTTAAAAAAATACTATGCTTTTGGAAAGATTAATATACATATTTATTAAGTATCATTAATAATTGCCAAAGTAGTCAAATTTGCTTTTCTCTATTGAAAATTATTGAAAAAATCAATTAAACATTATATTACCAAACACAAATTCTTTTAAAACAAGATATTGCTTTCAAAAAAAGCAACTCAAAAAGCTTTACCAAACAGAAATATGGTGATCTAAGAGACATTAGTAGATATATGCCATGAAAATGTGTTTAAATTTATTTTTCGAAATGATTGTTTTCTCAAGTATGGATCCAAATTAAATGGGTTGCTTAAAATGATTTAAAACCACTAAGGGGGTTTAGTGATGATTTAGAAAACCACAAGTTCTATTAGTTGGAAGTCATTCTATTAGATGGAGGTTCTATTAGCTGGAAGTCATTTACTGGAATCAATTCAATGCTGATTCCGTAGGAGTGACTCTGAGGATAGGAAAAAATACAGCTTGGTGGCATGAAATGAGATAAAAAAACCAATGTTTCAGAATGATTTGGAGTTGAGATCTTCTGTGAAGATGAACCTGACCTTACAGGATTAGTGGCTTTAGCGGTTCATGAAAGATAAACGGTATTCTATGGTGGAGGTTGATAGAGGCAAAGTTTAGTATCGTGGATAATGGATGGTATTCTAGAGTATTGTCAAGATCGCATGGGAAGGGGGTGTGGAAAAAAATTTGCATGGTTAGGAATAAATTTCAGGAATGCATCCACCAGGGTAGGGAGTGGGAACAATATTAATTTTTGGAAGGACCCTTCGCTTAGATGGGGAGCGCGTAGAGATCAGTTTTCCCAGATTTTTGCTATTGCACGCCACAAAGATATATTGGTCCATGAGTCATTCAGAAATATTGGATGGTGGTGAAAGGGAGTCGCATGTAGATGTGATGAGAAACCTTAACAGTTGAAAATTAATGTGTACGAGTCTCTCCTAAATAAAATCTCCTTCGCATCAATGGACGAGAGCAATGACCAACCAGTCTGAAGTCTAAATACCCCAAAGACCTTCTCGGTTAGGTCTTTCTATAATAATTTGGTTAAGAATGACACCATAGAGACCAGTTTTCCTTTCTGGCAAATCTGGAAGGTGAATGCTTCATTCAAAGTGGCTTTCCTTTGCATGAGAGGTGGGGCATGGGTGTATTTTTACTATTGAGAGGTTAATGAGAAGGAAAAAGATTATGATGAATGATTGTTTTCTATGTAAGAGGGAGGGGGAGTCTTGTAATCACATCTCTTTTGGGTGCTCGTTTGTGTACAAGTTATGGATTATGGTGTACGGGTTACTGGGGATTAGTTGGGCGATTGCTGGTACTGTAAGAGATGAGATTTTGGCTCGGAAGGGTACTACTGGTGGTAAGAAATATGCGGGTCTCATTCCCCTTGCTATCTTTGGGGTGATGTGGAAGGAAAGAAACAAGAGAGCTTTTGAAGGGGTAGAAAATTTCGATAGGGTTAGAGATGGATGATTTTAGACTTGTGTTTTTTAGTTATGGATCATCCTCTTTATTTTAGAGAGGATTCTGGGGGCCTTATTACATCTTGATTGATATGTAAATATATTTGTACATGGCTTGGCATGTTTTTGATGCTCTTGTGTCAATGAAACATATCATACTTTTTATGTTTTTTAAAGGAGAGTAGAATACACAGTAAATAACAGAGAATTAGTTATCCTCACTCCTTAAACATGGAATGCTGCTCGGTCTCAGTGCAACAAAAATAAAGAGTGGTCTGTAAAATGTCAATGCACTTTTGGCTAACGAGAAGCCAGAAATGACATTTTATCTGAAATATAAAAAAAAAGAGAAGATTGATCCTTGAAGATCATAGTGTTCCTTTCCAACTAGATCAGCTACAAGCTAGCTAAAAGTGGCTCCCTCCAAAATACCAAGCTCTCTTTCCTCCTTATGGAATATCTCAGGGTAGTAAACTAAACCCTTAAGATTGCTAGAACAATCTGAGCCACACCAAGAATATAAAAAAGTTGAGATCCCTACTTCCAAGCTCTATCACAGTGCAAAGAGGTGACTGTCACTTTTTGCAGCTTTATACCACATAGCACACGCCATTGGAAACAAAGCCTTATGCAGTCCTTGAGTTTGGAACCAGTAAATAGTGTCCACTATGAGTTCGAAGCAAGTCATTAGGGTTTAAGTCATCTAAGAGCCACGGAGCTAAAGGCAGATTCTTGAGTCGCTTATGACGTAGTCCTGACCAAGCAAGGCAAATCTGAATACGAATGAAGAAGTCATCTAAGACAATATTCATTCCAAGTAAAAACTTCACCTGTAGAGGGAGCTGGGACCTTCCAAACTCGATAGTCGTGGCTCGTAGAAAGAGTGATGGAAGTCAAAAGTTGTAAGGAAGAGGTCATGTCAATGATTTCAAGGTCATTAAGATTACGAAAAAAAATAAATATTCCTAAAATGAAAGCCATCCATATATCTATAAAAGTAAAAAATAGGAGCTAAAATGATTTTGAAACAAATGATATAAAAGAAGGTAGCACTCTATCCAAGAATTTTCCCAAAATGGAACACATGACCCATCTTCCACCCCAAAAGTTGGTTAGGGGAATAAATATCTCACATGGAAATGGCTTTCTATGGGCTCTTATAAGAAATTGAAACATATACTTTTACATACCGGCCATTCCATCATAGGCTGACTTTGCTCTTTATCACCGTATGCCAAAAAGAATTAGATTCCAAAAGAAGCCTCCATATACATCTTACCAGTGAAGACAAATAATACAGATTCCCAACATCCAAGCCGTTTTCCCCTATGGCAAACAGTGCACCTCTTATCTAGCTAAATGACCCCTGGAACTATGTCTTCCAACCCGAGCACCTCTCAGCTAGCTACGTGATCCCTAGAACTATCCTTCAAACCCAACAAAAGGAAAATTCTCATCATGCTTTCCAAGCTCTCAACAATAGCCTTACAAATTAGATAAGGAGATATTATGTTTTAATTTTATATTATTTTATTTTCAAATAATTTTTTCTTGCCACCTCTCCATCATTGAAATTGTTTTAGGAATTTTCTTTATACTCAATTTTGAAGAAGTGAAAAGTTAAATTAGTTAAATAAATTTCAAATTATGCTCTAACTATAAATATTTTTATGTATTTTAATTTAAGGAATCAAAGAAATTAGTCATTTAATTAAAACACAGATCGATGAATAAGAGTGCACTGAAAGTAAAATTATAGTGAAACCACCTAATTATTGGAATTTCAATTTCTTTTGTAATCACAATTATAAAATAATCTTAATTCAGCAGACTGTACAATGTAATAAGTTCCTGTTACAGAATAGCTATTAGATTCTCCCATATGTCAATCTTAGACAGTGAACTCAACATGCTGTGAGTTTAACGTGGACAATAGTATGTGAGATTAAATTGAGGTCCCTGTTGTATCTTTTGCTGTGTTCTCATTTCTTCTTCAATCTTTCTAATCTCCTCTGTGCTATTAATTTCTCCCCTCTTCATTGCCACTTTACCATCTATCTTCTCTAAGTTCTTCTGGTTCTATCTAGTCCTAGATTTCCTATGTGTTCTCCTATTCTTCTATTTCTCAAATCCCTTGTTGTGTTAGATCAAATATGAACAGGTAAATTCCACTAAAGGACACATACACTATCTTTGATTTCTTTATACGTACCACTGTTTAACATTTTGGCTCTGTAAGCTAACCTTTATGCATGGAAAAACCACCCAATATACATGGTTTCAGATGTTCTGGCTTTTATCATGCAGGGACCTCTTGGATTTTGTTTGGCTGTACAGCCCATGGATGGAGACATTGGAATAGTGGGACGTATGTATTCAAACATTTTATTGAAGAATTGGGACTCCATTTAAATTTTTTATTGCAGAGTTATGACTATGTTTCTGCATTTCATGAGTGTATTTCTTCATGTGTGATATCCTTTAAGAAGTCTAATATGATGAACTACTTTTCAGATAACTTCATGACTGGCTATCGGATGGTGTTTGATAGAGAAAATATGAAGTTAGGATGGTCTCGTTCAAATTGTGAGTAATCTGATATTTCCCAGTTTGTTATGATCGAATATGCTACTTTTATCTCCTGAACAACTGTTTCTGGGTTGTAATTAATTTTGCTGTCAGTTTTATGGAAATGCTGACCTTGGTTGTGCTGTTAATGGATTAAGTTGTTAACTATGAATACTTCTACTATTTAGGCTTGGATTTTAGTTTTCTTGTTGAAAGGTGGTCCCAATTCGACCAATTATTTATCTGCAGGTCCAGATCTAAGTGAGGGTAAGAGGATGCCACTTACATCTCCGAGTGGCACATCACCAAACCCATTGCCAACAAACGAGCAGCAAAGCAGCCTGGGGAGTCATGCAGTCTCCCCTGCTGTGGCTGGTAGAGCTCCCTCAAAGCCGTCAGCTGCTGCAACTTCATTGACACCGTCATTATTCTGTTTGCTAGGGTTGCTGTGCTGCAATTGTTGTTGCGTGCATGCAGGTAGATGAAATGCTATTTTGTAAGCCTCTGTGATGTACATCCATTTTCCCTTTTCTTTCTAGATATAAATATGTTGTCATCCAGTGCTGTCATTTTTTTGAGCATTTTGGATGCATTTGGGCTTGTAGTATATGATTTACTTCCTCAGTCGGTTCTTTCTCTACCTTTTAAGAAGGAAAAAGACACCCTTTAATTCAGTTTGGTGCTCTTTCCATGCCAATCTGAAACTGAATCCTGTTTGGTGCATTCATTGGTTAACTTGGATCTTTAAGCCATTTTGCTCGTCCAGTTACTCGGGCCGGAACTCGCTTTGTTGGGGTTTGCTTGGACAGAAAAAGATTGCAGTCAGTTTGATAACCAAGTGACATCTAACTGCGCAAATAGCATCCAGTACATATATCAGTTATATATTTGGGTAAGATTTCACTTTAGGGTTGGGAATTACTTATATTCGAATTGCACAATGTTTGGTAACTAATGGAAGAACAAAACTAGGGAGTTTTAAAGCAAACCATAATAAAGACTTAAGCAAAATTTTTAACCATTAAGGACAGGGATAATCTAAAATTGAAAGATAAACCGTATTCAATATAAAAAAAAAATTAAATTTAAAAAATCATTTAGGAAAGAATTATCAGTTCTTTTAAGTGATAGTGGTGATATATAATCCCATCACCTTGCTATTAGTTCAAAAGTATTTTATGTTGGTTCAATTCTTAAGATTTTATTATTTGATGTTATGGAAATTGATAATATTTATACATTTTATGCGTTATTGAATCAACTTCATGTATATTTTCAATTATTCAAGTATTCTATTGTAAATCACTTTTAGTTTATATCTCTCACCCATTTCCTTCATATTAAAGACTAAATTATTTCTTCACGAATAACATACTTAATTATTACATTCATTAAATAATTGGAAAGAGAGGTGGACTCATGTGACAATTATACTAGGAGACACCTAGAACAGTGCAATTAGAGGACTCTTTAAAGTTGGAGCTTCTTCTCTTCATCAATGAGGTGTTCTCTCCATTCTAGATTTTAATATTTCAAATGCCTTAACCCCATATTCATATCACTGTAATTCATTCAGTCATTCATTATCCTATTATAAATCGTATTAGCTATGTTTCGTAATACTAACTAGACCCATAAACTTATTATGATAGCTCATCCTCCACCCTCTCTCAATTTTTGTCATGAATTCTTTGTCCTCTAAACTGTCGTGAGTGGAGCTTCCTACACACGTATTTTATTGTCATAATAAATAAAAAAAGTAACATGTCAAGTGATGAGTTGGTGCTAAGAACTAATGAAGATTAAGAAGGCAATAAATGGGATAGTATTTTAATAGATTTTGTTTTCTCTCCTAAACTTATCTTAGCTGAAGTGTTATACATATTATACTAATAATGCATAGAAAACCCATAAATGGAGTGAGAACCAGTTCTCTCCATCATAATACGTTTATCTTTACATTTCCATAATGTAGATTAGATGATAATAATCTAATTTAGTCCTTAGAACTTCAATGAAGTCTAAGACACCACAATCGAAAGAGTTAAATTTCTTAAATAGGAGTAGTATGGGTTTTCATCAAGGGTCTTCCTATTGGCATGATTAATAAAAAAAAAAAAAAAAATTAATTCTCTTATAAAAGTGGAAGATATTAAAAAGGTAAGACAATAGATAAATTTTATGAGAATTAAAAGTCTAATTAAACCTCTCTAACCAAAAGAAAATGGTGATTGAGTATTGGGATATCTCGTCAATATGAGAGAATATTAAAAAAATTTCTCATATATGTTAAAGAAACAAATTACCAAGCCACTTAACCTTAACAATTTGATTGATCATTTCTAATGAAAGCATAATAATAAAAAAATATATGTAGGCTAAGCATCCCCAACAATCTCTCACCTAGGCCCCTGAAAAATCATATTCGTCAGCATAAATTTTTGTTGATTTATATTAGACTTACTTTCCTCCAAATTTTTTACTTATGCAATAAGCTTTTATTTCTTTCTTTCCACGAGGTTCATGACAAGATACAAAAAAATAGCTATGAAAATGTGTGATATATAAGAATTTAGTTTTACTATGCAATGATAAGATCAATATGCAATATTAATGACTAAAATTTCATATTTTAATCATAATAACAATTTTAATA